CAGCTTTTTTGGCCAAGTGGTTCCTGAGAAGAAGATTTTCAAAGATTTTTCCTATATATTTCTATATAAAACTTTGATTCCCCTATAATGGCCCCGCCCTTCCCCCGGGGGTCATGATTCCTACAATTTAGAATTTACACTACCCAGAATGCTTCCACATAAGCTTCACTTTTTCTGGCCCAGTGGTTCTTGAGAAGAAGATTTTCAAAGATTTTTCCTATATATTTCTATATAAAAATTTGATTCCCCATTGTGGCCCCGCCCTTCCCCCGGGGGTCATTATTTGAACAATTTAGAATCTACATTATATCAGGATGCTTCCACATAAGTTTCAGCTTTTCTGGCCCAGTGGTTCTTGAGAAGAAGATTTCCAAATATTTTTCCTATATATTTCTATGTAAAACTTTGATACCCCGTTGTGGCCCCGCCCTTCCCCCGGGGGTCATTATTTGAACAATTTAGAATCTACATTATATCAGGATACTTCCACATAAGTTTCAGCTTTTCTGGCCCAGTGGTTCTTGAGAAGAAGATTTTCAAAGATTTTTCCTATATATTTCTATGTAAAACTATGATTCCCCATTGTGGCCCCGCCCTTCCCCCGGGGGTCATTATTTGAACAATTTAGAATCTACATTATATCAGGATGCTTCCACATAAGTTTCAGCTTTTCTGACCCAGTGGTTCTTGAGAAGAAGATTTTCAAAGATTTTTCCTATATATTTCTATGTAAAACTTTGATTCCCCATTGTGGCCCCGCCCTTCCCCCGGGGGTCATTATTTGAACAATTTAGAATCTACATTATACCAGGATGCTTCCACATAAGTTTCAGCTTTTCTGGCGCAGTGGTTCTTGAGAAGAAGATTTTCAAAGATTTTTCCTATATATTTCTATGTAAAACTTTGATTCCCCATTGTGGCCCCGCCCTTCCCCCGGGGGTCATTATTTGAACAATTTAGAATCTACATTATACCAGGATGCTTCCACATAAGTTTCAGCTTTTCTGGCGCAGTGGTTCTTGAGAAGAAGATTTTCAAAGATTTTTCCTATATATTTCTATATAAAACTTTGATTCCCCATTGTGGCCCCGCCCTTCCCCCGGGGGTCATTATTTGAACAATTTAGAATATACATTATACCAGGATGCTTCCACATAAGTTTCAGCTTTTCTGGCCCAGTGGTTCTTGAGAAGAAGATTTTCAAAGATTTTTCCTATATATTTCTATGTAAAACTTTGATACCCCGTTGTGGCCTCGCCCTTCCCCCGGGGGTCATGATTTGAACAATTTAGAATCTACACTATACCAGGATGCTTCCACATAAGTTTCAGCTTTTCTGGCCCAGTGGTTCTTGCGAAGAAGATTTTCAAAGATTTTTCCTATAAATTTCTATGTAAAACTTTGATTCCCCATTGTGGCCCCGCCCTTCCCCCGGGGGTCATGATTTGAACAATTTAGAATCTACACTACCCCAGGATGCTTCCACATAAGTTTCAGCTTTTCTGGCGCAGTGGTTCTTGAGAAGAAGATTTTTTAATGACCCAACCCTATTTTTCTCTTTTCTTGATTATCTCCCCTTGCGAGGGGATATGTCCCTTAATTTTAACAATTTAAATTCCCCTTCACCCAAGGATGCTTTGTACTAAGTTTGGTCAAAATTGGCCCAGTGGTTCTTGAGAAGAAGTCGAAAATGTGAAAAGTTTACAGACGGACAGACAGACGGACGGACAGACAGACGGACGGACGGACGACGGACAAAATGTGATCAGAAAAGCTCACTTGAGCCTTCGGCTCAGGTGAGCTAAAAACTACTAAATTTAATCTTGTGAATATAATGTGACTAACATATAAGCACTTATATTTTTAAATTTTGCTAAGTGCAACAGATGACAAGTATGGGAAAATTATGGTAATGCGCGACAATTGCGTGGAAAAAACAGTGTAGTGTTAACAATTCTTGGAAGTTGGAATGTTTTTTTATAAGTTTTAATGAAGTAAGGTATGTGATCATTATTACAATAACTGAAGAAAGCATCATTCTGCCTTTTGACTGGCAAAACTTTTAAATATCTTTTAAAAATCGAAGTTTTTAAAGTTTGAGGCGAGGCATCGAGGAATTAATGGCGGCTCGTTACTACGGTCCTTTCTCCCCTATTATACTATATACCCGATATTACTAAGATTGTCTCAAGTCCCTGTGGTCCTGAAGACAAAGAAGTCACCTGTACAAGTCATATCCAGCTGCCAATTTTGAACCCCTCGTAGGAGAAAACGCATTTTTGGAGAGTTTTGCAAATTTGAGAATAACAGAATCGATGGGCATTGTGCAGATTTTCTTATTCGGGGGCTGCTGGATATTCTCCTTATCCTCTGCAATATTTATCACAGTGCTGCTCATTTGAACTTTCGTGCGCAGTTTTGGCGGTAGAACCTTGTCCCAAAGCCTTCCGAATGTGATTTCCTAGTCTGTATCATTTAAACGTTTGCACCTTTACTAGTTATGGAAGAACCTGCATACGTCTGGATGATACAGACTATTATGCCCCTCGGAACTCCTCGGTTTGCAAAAAGTAGGTCGTACGGAAAACTGTTGACATTTACGAGAAAGGAAAAAATGGATGAGAACGCTCTTGCAGCATCTTTAGAACTTTATAAAACACAATTAGCACAAGTAGAACAAGCAATTCAAGCTGCTGGGTCTGAAGACATTGCCGATCTCGTACATCTGAGGGGCGATTTACAGGAATTGGTGTGTCTGACAGAGGAGGGATTGTTATCACTGAAAAAGAGCAACATCCTCAAAGGTTTAGAGGAGAAAAGCAATGAGGATAATGAAGAAGACGATGAATATGCTGCCTTCCAGGCTGCCATTGCAGAAGAGGATAATTCTGTTAAAGAACCTGATGATAAACATTCTGATTTTGAAGCTTCTCTGTATGAGGGTGTGATGTGTAGTAAAGGACGTGATGCTAAGACCTCTGATTCCTCCTCAAGCACAACAGGAAAATGTTTTGAAATGAAAGAGGTTTCAGAGGAGTTGTCGGAAATAGTGGGAACTCTCTGTCGAGCCCCTTACATGCATGATTGGGGGTCGTCCAGTTACCATAATGCCATGGTTACAGATGTAAAAATTTCAGATGTCGATAATGAAATAATAGTTTCTGTATTATTTTGTAACCCCACTCATGTAGGAATGCTTCCATGTGAATATCATATAGAAGGAAAATGTAAATTCACCTCAGATCAATGTCGAAACTCCCACGGACATTCAGTCAAGCTTGATGATCTAGGGGAATACTGTGAACCAAACTATAACTCACTGAAGATGGAGTCCCCGTGCTTGGCTCTCTACACAGACGGACTTTGGTATAGGGCTGTCATTGTGGATGTCCTGGAGGAAGATCACCAATATACAGTGTCTTACGATAATTACAACGAAACTGCCACGCTGGACTTAAAGGACATTCTACCACTTCACTCCACTGGCTCCGATTCTAGTGACGAAGGGGAGGTAAACGATGATAAGGAGTCCGTGTTAGAAAAAGACGATTCCGATGATACATCATCTACGGAGGAAGAAATGATACCCAGGTACTTCATGAGACCAAACCAAACAACTGAAAAACTCGGAGAATGGGAGGAACATACAAGAGGAATTGCCTCAAAACTGATGGCAAAGATGGGGTACATTGTGGGTCAAGGACTTGGTAAACTAAGTCAAGGTCGTTCAGAGCCTGTCCCCATTCAGCTTATTCCTCAGGGAAAGTCCCTAGATAAAATTATGGAGTTAAAGGAGAAAGCAGGCGATCAAGATATGTTTAATGTCTCAAAGAAAATGAAGAAGAGAAAACACGGCAAGACGACTAAGAAAACAGGCTCAGAAAATGTGACATCTACCAGTGATGTGTTCCATTTCATAAATAAAAAGTTAGGTGGTAAAAAAGGAAACATCAAAGAGCTTATACATCATCACAATCACAAAGCGAAGAATGCTCCAATCAGGATACTTGAAAAAGAACTTTCTGATCGCAGTGATAGGAACTTAAACATTCAGTTGCTTAAAACAGAGGAAGAAGTCAGGAGCACGGAGAAGGAGATTTCTCGACTTAAACAAGCTTTACAGAGACATGAGAAGAAGGATGAAGGGATGGCGAAACAGTACCGAGCCAAACTCGCTAAAACTGAGCTCTACCTAAAGGAACTCAAAACATCGGAAAAAACTATACAGAATCATAAAACTAAGAGAGGAAACCACAAAAAATTAACTGTTTTCTAGAGACACCTATTTTTAAAAATATAAAAACATTTGTTGGAGAATAAAATGTGATGGTTGTATTTTATATTAAATCAATTTTATTAAACTATTACATGTACTGGTATCATATTCATTATATTTTATTATTATTAAAAGCATTATATTTTAAAGAGATTTTTCAGTAGGTTTTAATATACTGAACATACATGGTATTAAAGATTTGAAAGAAGGAAAAACGCGAGAGCAACTGCTTGTGAAATTTTGTGGAATGGTATTCAAAAGTTAAAGAAATACAGTAAAGCAACTAGATCCTCATTCATTTTAACTAATTTATTCACATGAAGGTAGCAGTGGATTTAATTTGTTGACGGGTTTCGACCAAAGATTGTCATCACCAGAACAGTTCTAATGATGACCTGAAAATTTCTGGTCATAATTGACCAACAAAATATATCTACTTCTACGTACCCTCTCTGACAGAGCGTTGTACAAGTGATTGATCTGTATGGTTGATTTATTTTAATTAATAAAAAATCATATGTACATCAAAATTTTTATATTAATAAACAATCATGCAAAAAAAAAAAATGTTAAAAAAAAAATCACCCCAATAAGAAAGGGGGGATAAAGAGGATCTGATCAAAAAATGCTATCATATAAAATAAATACTTTAAAAAAGTGGGGATAATTAAAAATCATCATTGATCAATCTCAATAATTGAATGGCATCAAACACATGCCGACCACTTGAAATTCCAGATTTGGGATCAGGTGCCTTGGAGGAGTAAGCATTCCCTGTCAACTGATGATTAAAATAACATTGATTGATTCTATATATTAGGTCAAAGCTAGGTAATTAAAAAAATCATTTTTTTCAAAACTGTGTGTGCATGGAATTTACTTTGCAATGCATTATTATCATTTTTCATCTCAACCAACTCTGCGCTAGTGGTTATTGCACTTGCACCTTTATTAAGTAGTCCCTTTTTCAATTTATTTTTTTTTAATGCCCAGCTTTCACTTGAACTGTAGTACGAATGAGTGAATGTACAATCTACTTTTCAATATGAAACTCGGAATATCTTGGACATTTTCATTGAACATGTGGACGTCATGCCGTTTGTTTTGGTTTGTGGATTTCCATCAAGTGGAAAAAGTAAACGAACAGAGGACTTGAGACATTACTTAAGCGAAAACACGGAAAGAACTGTACACATTGTAAGCGACCATACACTGGGATTTGACAAAAATAAAGTATATGCAGGTAACCATGAATCTCGAATTTCCTCGATGCGGTATAATTAACGTTAAAAAATAAGACGCGATTCCTCTTACGGTGAACCTGCAGTATTCATGTTGTTGTATGTGCAGGGGAGATTTTACACAAAAAAATTATAGTAGGGGTTATGTTGAGGTAGAGATACATCTTGGATTACCGTAATTGATTTGAAAATTTTCGGGAGGATTCAATGAGATGCAATGAATTTGTTTTCAGTTTAAAAAGACAGGTTGAGCACCATGAGCACAGACCACCAAACAGTATAAATTGTCTGTTTATATTCTTTTATCTCTGTTAACTGCATCAAAACTCTGCCTGACGAGTGTAAAAGTCAAGTTACCACATGAAATGGTAGAACCTTTCCCAGGTAAGCTTGGAATATCAGTAAGGCGGGGCATTCTCGGCGGTACACAATTAACGTCTGTTAAATGGCAAATAGTTTCTCATTGGTTAAGAAATTGATAACATCAGGAACTTTAAATTGTTGTTGACAACGATGAGAAGACTTAAGCCCCAACTCTTTGCCAGACGAGACAATGTTATTGGTTATTCGATACACTAACAGGCATTTGCCCAAATTTCTATCCCATGTATATTTTAACAGTGAAAGAAAGCTGTGTAAATTTCAGAAGCTAATTTTGAAACATTGAGAATATCTTACTGAAAGTCAAAGCTAAACTGGGAATTAATTGTCCTATTTGCTAATCATGGGCAGAGAGGAAAATTATAAATTGATTGGGTTTAATAATTCAATTCCAGTGTTTAAATATTGCAGAAATAAAGATTTATGTACATATCTTATATTTTCCATAATTACAGTAGGATATTTTTACATTGTTATTTTAAAAACATTTTTTGCCAATCCGTACAAAATTCCTGGCATTTTCTGCCTGTGAGTGGCACATACTGTATACAAGGTAATTATTGCCCCCATTTTATTTTCGCCCCTTTTGCCCTCTTACTGATTGGGCGAATTTAAAACGGTGCGAATTTAAATTACACAGCTTAATTTCTTAAACTAAACTAAGACTGGGCGAATTTAAAAGGGGGCAAAATAGTTCGCAAGTGCAAAAGGCAAAACTAACACGAGCGAAAATAAACCTGTATACAGTACCATTTCATGGTGCAATTCACCAGTTTAGATTGGACAGATGTTAAAAAACTTGTTACCAAAAATAAGTAAAAACCACCTTTGTTCAGAAAGGAAAGATGACTATATCATAATATACTTTTTGTAGATCCAATATTACATTATACATGTAATTTACCGCTTCACTTCTTTCTGCTTATAGATTCAATTGAAGAGAAAGAAATTCGGGGAAAATTAAAGTCTGAGGTACAGAGGTAAGGTACATTATGTTGTAGGCTATAACAATCATCAGGAATAATCATTAGGATTAATTAATATCTCTGTTCATTTTAGGCTCCATTGATCATAAAGTAGAAAAGCTTTATTAATGGAGAGAAGGTGTCTGTAGTCTGTCTAGTCGTCTGTAAAAAATTTTCAACATGCATATTTTGTAACAGTTTTGTCATTTTAGGTTACTGAACAAGGATGATGTGGTCATTCTAGACTCCCTCAATTATATCAAAGGTTAGTTTTAAAAAGATAATGAGGAAATTAAGATTTTAGTGTAAGTGTAGTATAAGAGAAGATTTGTTTTTTTATCTTGTTACTCATGAATTCTTTCGTTATAGTGTACTGCTATGTAATTGATACCGTTTGTATTCTTTTGCTTTTTTTCTTCAGGTTTTCGATATGAATTATACTGCATTACAAAATCTTGTAAAACCCCCCAATGTGTGGTGAGTCTGTGAGGAAAAGAAAATAGTTTTTTCTTTACTTAAAATTTTTACTAATTTTTTTTAGAGAGAACTTTTATTTGATTTTAAAAATACTTTTGATTACAATAACAAAACAATCCTTCAGCTTTAAAAGTAAGGAAAAAGAAAGCACCACAAACACAAATTTGAGCTCTCTTAAAAATTTAGTGTTTGGTATAATAGGCTTAATTTAAATGCTAGTTGTTCATTGAATGATTGCACAGTAAATGTGCATAGACAGTAAGACTGTAAGATGTATATGTAAACATGATTTGAATGTTGGAGTTTTATTTTAACAGATATTCTGTGATATCAGTAAAGAGAAAGCCACAGAATGGAACAGCCGGAGAGAACCAGAGACAGACAGATATACAGACAAAATGTAAAATTTTAACTATTACCTCTGATATGTTCAGTTGAGATTATAATATTTAGCTGCCCGTAAACTGATGCTATACCCCAGCATTGGAACCCTATTAATTAATATGTTAGGAGCAAGCCTTAGTTGTTGTGACCAAACTTGCATGGATGATGCTTCTAGAGATTCATTCAACCAGACAAGCTTTGGATGCTGGATCTGACATACATTTCCAAATAACTGGCAACAACCTGGACTCCCTTTAACTGTCCCGCCCCAGTTCTTTTTGTATCTACCTGTGCTTCCAGGTACTGTGAAATCACTAATTTTTGTTGGTTTTAATTTTCGTGGTTTTTAAGGTACGAAGAGACCCACATATTTATATCCACCACGAAATGCAATTTTTCACATATATTACTACTAAATAATTTTTCAACTATGAAATCAAATCCCCATGAACCAATATACATGTATTTTCCTCAAACCACGAAAATTTAACCCTCGAAAATATGTGATTTTACAATATTCTTTGTCCTCCACACTTTCTTTTTCCTTCAGAGGCCCATTTGAAGCAATTTCTAAATGAGTGGTCAGTTTAAAGTTCTTATTAAAGGAAGTTTATTTCAAAGTAAATATAAAGCCTACTAAACCACTCTTTTACATGTGATCTAAGCAACTAAGGATGCATACCAAAGTCACTCATTTTGTGACAGCTTTGTTTAGCATTCATTGAGGTGAGCTTTCTAATCTTTAATCTTATAAGCTTATATTTTTAAACATGTACATCTTTAAAAGAACAATATTTTTCTAGTCTGGAGGAGCTGATGATGCGGTTTGAGGAACCTAACCCAAACCAGCGCTGGGACAGCCCCCTGTTTGTCGTCCACCCTGAAGACAAACTTCCTTATGACCAGATTACTGACGCTCTCTTTAACAGGAAACCACCACCACCTAACATGGCCACACAAAACGTATGTAACTTATTATCATCAGATTTTATTTTATTGAAATTTAATTTGAATAATTTTCAATGCATGAAACTTTTGAATAATCATTGACTTGTATGTGATGAGAATTTTTCTTCTTTTGTAGCAACCCCTCTCCTCCACTAACTTCCTGTATGAGCTGGACAGAGTAACACAGGACACAGTCTCAGTAAGCATGGCTGATCTAGAGGGAAAATAATCTACTGTATTCAGGAAATTTTTTTTGCACCCAATTCTTTTTTGCTACTTTCATTCTTGTCATCAGAGGCTGTATTTTATACAATGTATAAGGAGAATGCAATAGAGACATACCTCTCTTTTAACACAAATATAAAAAGCTAATTTATGATTCAGCCCACAAATTCAATGAACATTGGTCCACCATAAGCAATGACGATTCTACCATATGTACACTGTATTGATAAAAATAAATTTATTATGTTGATTCATTAAATTTTTGTACAGAAGAAACCCATTGTAATATTTCAGACTATTATGGAGGCCCAGAAGCTGTGTGTGGCAGGAGATGATATTTCTATCCCAGGGGCCACTGAAAAAGTATCCTTCTCAGAGAGTACCGGTAGTACAAATCAATGATTAAATGTTATTGAATGTCCTGACAGATCATCAAAGTGAATACATGTGAATTAGCCATGCTCTCTTATAAAATTATACCCATGGCACAAAAAAGTAATCTTGCAGAGGATGCGAACTTAGATTTTGCTGTTTTGATTAGTAATAAAAATGCCGTTTTATAATAATGTATCTATAAAAAACAAATCAATTTTTCTGAGGTAAGATAGTAGTCAAAACTTGCAGGAGGTGAGAGCCACAATGCTGGATTTACTGCATGGTATATGAGAACATTTTCATGAATTCTTTTTATCACTATAACCTTTTTCTGTAAAAATTATAATAAGCATTTTTTTTCCTAAATTAAAAAAAAAAAATGTGTGTATACTTAATTTGATTTATCAGAGATCCTTTGAATGTTGGTTAATTTCCTTAATTAGTGTACAGATTCACCTCCTTCGTCCAGTGACTCTAGCGGAACTACAGAGACACAGACGTCAATTTATAACATACACAAAAATGCATCCAGTGGAGGACCTTTCTAAAATCCCTAACATGTTTGTGCAATATATAAACAACTCATTGACCTGACAAACAGAAAGGTTATTAAAGAGATATAACACGAAAAACTTTAAATGAAGAAGGAATGTTTTCATGGAGTTACTGGCCCTCAATTGTATTGATAACATGTATTTGATTTTAATGCATCAAACTAACGAAAAAAATTATAGCTTTATGATACTTGTAATTATAAAGTAAGAATTGCCAATAATTCTAATAATGGAATTTTGCTGCAATGGTTTGGTCCTGAAACAGATTTAAAACTTATTTATAATTTGCCAAATTTAATCTGTTCATATTATTGTTTTACCAAAATTAATTAATGCCATATAGTTATATATTTCATAAAAGTATCTAATACATGGTCCCCAGTATTAGAATTTTGGATTTATGAGGGACACAACATGCATTTTTGTAATAAAAATTTTACAGACAAAATAGTAGGCATTACAAAGAAATAATGTATTTTGTTATGGCACTGCAGTTAATTGCTACACAGATGATTACAACATCCATTCATTTGTTAAATGGAAGTTTTGGATCAATGAACCTTAACACATACTGAAGAATATACTTTTTGCAAAGTGAAGAAGTTTTGCTCATATTCGGTATATAGAGTTACTGCCCTTGTGAAGAGACCATCAACTTAAAATATAAGTTTTTAAATTAATTAACATTCTTTTGACCATTATTTTTATAGCAGTAATTATCCTTGTTTTGTTTTCAATCTAGCTTACTTTTAAAATTATGTTCTTTAAAATTATTTTATGAAATTAAAGGGATTATTTTATTATTCACTCTATTCATTTACTTTATTAAAATTCTATAGCAGTCAACTCCACGGTAGATGGGAATTCCCAAGTAACTATAAGTTCAATCTTTGTATCATCCCTGTCAAAGCTGTACAGGGATTTTACCCATAGAAGAATATAGAGGTGGTGTCACACACAATGATCCACAACTATGCAGTATCACTTAATTGCAGTATTAATGCTTCATGACACAATGACATACAGGGGAAGACCAGTTGATTCTGAAAAAGGAAGGGCCAGATGTCAGATTTTAGAAATATATTTTAAATTAATCACTCAATCCTTCATATGAAACGTTAACCTGAAGACTGAAGTCTCATGTTGCAACACGTGCTGGCATGAAAAATTGAATTTAAAAATTCAACAAGAGGCCCAGGGGCCACAGCGCTCACCTGAGCACATTGGCTACAAAAAAAGCACATATCAGATCAGAACTGAAAGTTTACTGGGGGGGGGGGGGATTGAATTTTAACCCCCCAGGGGTTTCATGATTTGAACAAATTAGAATCTACACTACCTGAGGATGATTCCATTTAAATAGAAAAATATCACTAATCATGGCTTTGAAGTACTTGAAAAGAAGATTTTAAAAGGTTTCCCTATATATCCCTATGTAAAATTTTGGTCGGCCATTTTGGCCCCCCCTAGCCCCAGGGGTCATGATTTGAACAAAGTTCAATCTACACTACCTGAGGATAATTCCACATGAGTTTCATCTTTCCTGGCCCAGTGGTTCTTGAGAAGAAGATTTTTAAAGATTTTTTCTATATATTCCTATGTAAAACTTTGGTTGGCCATTTTGGCCCCACCCTAGCCCCAGGGGTCATGATTTGAACAAACTTGAATCTACACTACCTGAGGATAATTCCACATGAGTTTCATCTTTCCTGGCCCAGTGGTTCTTGAGAAGATTTTTAAAGATTTTTCCTATATATTCCTATGTAAAACTTTAGTCGGCCATTTTGGCCCCATCCAAGCCCCAGGGGTCATGATTTGAACAAAGTTGAATCTACACTACCTGAGGATGTTTCCACATGAGTTTCATCTTTCCTGGCCCAGTGGTTCATGAGAAGAAGATTTTTAAAAATTTTTCCTATATATTCCTATGTAAAACTTGGGTCGGCCATTTTGGCCCCACCCTAGCCCCGGGGGTCATGATTTGAACAAACTTGAATCTACACTACCTGAGCATGATTCCATATGAGTTTCATCTTTCCTGGTCCAGTGGTTCTTCAGAAGAAGATTTTTATACGCCCGTCTTAAGACGGGACGCATTATGTTACAGGCTTCATGTCCGTCCGTCCGTCTGTCCGTCCGTCCCTCTGTCCATTCCTGTCCGGCTCATAACTTGAATACTATTAGGCCTAGGGTTATGAAACTTTGTCAACTTATACTTCTTGGGTAGACGGTGTGTCGCGCACAAAAAGTAGGTCGCTCTGACCTTTAATAAAGATGCTATAGCCAAATATGGAAAAATCCTGTCCGGCTCATAACTAGAAAACTATTAGACCTAGAGCTTTCAAACTTGGCAAACGTATACATCTAAAGTAGAAGGTGTGTCGCGGCCTATTTCAAGGTCACTGTGACCTTTAATTAAAGTGAATTTTTTAAAAAATTAAGTCTTTTAAATTCTAAATTTCATAATCCTAAACAATGTAAAAATATAGTTGTATGCTTATTAAAAAAATGTTAAATTAAGTAAAAACTTATTTTTTCATTATATACTTTACAGCAATCTGTAACAAATGTTAATGCTTTGAGAGGAATTCAGTTTGTCCCATGGGCTTAATTATCAAGCACTGGTCAAGAAGAATTTTGATAGCAGAAATTTGCATGTCAAATTAGAGAGAAATTAATGAGTTTATTGTCAGGAGCTAAGAGCATCTCTAGATCTGATGCAGCTGTTATCTTAATTTATCTCTTGGGAGTTGGGCAAAAAGATGCTTGTGTTAATTAAGAGTTCTTGATGGCTAGTCCAGATAAAGATCTTTCAATTGATGTTCTAGTGTATGATTAAAACTAAAATAGTATTGTATAATATGATTAAAACTAATTATACATGTGTTCATTGAAAAAAAAAAAAATTGTATTTCAATTTTTATATATTTGCGACAAATTGTAGTCATGTCTCACTAGTATTATTTGTTATAATCAATCCCTACACTGTAAGTCTCTTAGAGATGTATAATAAGAAATGGAAATTAGATAATTGAAATCTGTGTCAATCTGTTAATCAAGGCTACCTGATTTTCTTGCATCCTAACCAATGTATGATTATTGAACAATATTTGATGGGCGCATCATGCTGTGGCGGGGCACTTTATTTTAAAATGCCATTAATTTTTCTCTAATTCATAATTATCTCCCCTTGGAAAAGGGCGTGGCCCTTCATTTGAACAAACTTGAATCCCCTTTACCCAAGGATACTTTGTAGCAAGTTTGGTTGAAATTGGCCCAGTGGTTCTTAAGAAGAAGATGAAAATGTGAAAAGTTTACAACGACTACGACGACAAGACAACGACAACAACGACAGACAATGGACAAATTTTGATCAGAAAAGCTCACTTGAGCCTTCGGCTCAGGTGAGCTAATAAGTATATTAAAGAGAACCATATGTTCAGTACAAGCTGACAAAAGCCATAGCAAGAGTACAATTCTGACATAATTTAGTTGATACTTCAGGTTTTTATAATCAGGAAGTTAAATGATTGATACCGTAAATCTGCAAATTTTTACGTCCATTTTATTTTGCGAATTCGGGTCAAAATGCTGATGATTAATTTTTACGTTTCAAAATTTTGCGAATGACCACTGCTTTGCTTATATTTTCTTATTGGTAATTTATTTTTAAGAAAAATATTTTTGCGAATGCAATGAACTCGCAAATTTGCTAAAAATTTATCTACAGCAAAAATTTTCAGATTTACGGTATGCTTTAATTGTTCTGACCTGTAATTGGTAGAGACAAACAAGAGGCCCATGGGCCACATCGTTCACATGAGCATTGTGGCTCTGAAAAAGTAGAAATTGGTTTATTATTAAAAAGTTTAAATCCAAAAATGTTCCCATGAACAATCATGGCTTTGCTTGAGAAGATGATTTTTTAAAGAATTTTCCTATGTATATCTACCTAAATCGGCCATTGTGGCCCCGCCCTACCCCCGGGGGTCATGATTTGAAAAAATTTGAATCTACACTACCTGAGGATGCTTCCATATAAATATGATCAATTATGGCTCTGTAATTCTTGAGAAAATGATTTTTTTTAAGAATGTTCATATCTATTTCTATGTAAAACTTTGATTGGCCATTTTGGCCCCGCCCTACCCTGGGGGTCATGATTTGAATTTGAATTTACACTACCTGAAGATGCTTCCATATAAATATGATCAATTATGGCTTTGCGATTCTGGAGAGGAAGATTTTAAAAGAATTTTCCTGGAGAGGAAGATTTTAAAAGAATTTTCCTGTATATTTCTATGTAAAACTTTGCTCGGCCATTTTGGCCCCGCCTTACCCCCAGGGGATTTGAACAAACTTGAATCTACACTACCTGAGGATGTTTACCCACAAGTTTCATCTTTCCTAGCACAGTGGTTCTTGAGAAGAAGATTTTTAAAACATGCCAAAAAATTTTCACTAATTCCCAATTACACACGTATCGCCCCTTGAATGAGGGTGTGGCCATTCATTTGAAAAAACTTGAATCCCCTTGACCCAAGGATGTTTTGTGGCAAGTTTGGTTGAAATTGGCACAGTGGTTCTTAAGAAGAAGATGAAAATGTGAAAAGTTTACAACGACAACGACAGACAATGGACAAATTTTGATCAGAAAAGCTCACTTGAGCCTTCCGCTCAGGTGAGCTAAAAATGGAAAACATAACTATCTCATTTTTCTTTTGAATTGGCTTTATTTGGAAGAGTAACCTACATTGTAAATGGTACAAGTACCGTACAATACTTAAATCATTTTAAAATATGATTGATTTTCCCATTCCCTCTATTTAAGTGGACTGGAAATATCAAAAACAAATTTGAAGTGTTTTATAATGCCAATAATCATCGGGAAAAAAGTATATAAAAATCCCATGGAGCAACTTTACTGAACCGTATGAAATAAAAACATATTTGTTATATCAATAGTATGATGTAAATGGAAGTAAAATTTAGAGAGCTTGTATAAAGGTAATAGTGTGAAGATTTCCTTTAATGATCAGATGTAAAGCATAGTTTACAGCATATCTATAAAATAATACTGTTTATATATAAATCTTCAAAACTTTTTAATAATAATTAAAGTAGAAATTAACTTACCTCGGTACATTTTATATACATATACATATGCAAATTTCATGACACGTGTGCACAAATAAAATATTTTCAGTAACGTGCACACTAGCATTAAGCATTTCTGGACAATGGACAAATCAAATACAAAAGGGAAGAATCTAAATAAAATATGATATTAAATTAAATCATTGTTTACTTTAAAGGTATTCTACTAGTAAATGCCCATCAAAAAAATTGAATAAATGTTAATTTCTCAACTTACTAATTGAAATCATAAAATCATCACTCATTCTCAAAAAGCACCTATAAATCTAATGTACACAATCCTCCTGGATTTACGGATACAAGTTTTTGGAATTTGGCATTATTAAAACAAATGCCTAGTATTATCACAGTTAAGCTGTAGATGCCGATTGCACTGAGAGGCGAGCTGCATCGTTAAAACCGTCGGCTACGGTGATCTTCATTCCACTTTCTGCCAGAATTTTCTTGGCTTCCTCTACATTGTTACCTGTAAAACCAGTTGACAGAGATTTATCAAATCTTAAAAATTTGATTTGTGGAGGACAATTAGACCTTCCACTTCATTTTAAAGTCCATGGTAAAAAGGCATGATAAAAAATCAAAATACACAGTAAAACATGCTTATAGAGAATATTCTGTTAATGAATTGATGCTTATAAATAGTAGGGATGTCAACGAGTACCCGGTTAACCGGGTACTCGATCGAACGTCCGAGTATCGAATACTAAAATCGGTACTCGGTTACTCGGATGTACATTTTTAAATAATTCTAAGCTTATTTATTAATGCATTAAAATATCGGTTTTAAATGTAAAATGTTCATTGCACTTGTACATACAGTAAACAGGTTTTCCTGAGCCTCTAAATGACCGTTATCGCCTGTGGCAGTGTTTATACAGTAATTACCGTGACCAAGCACCTGCTACCTGGCATTCTCACCGTCGGCTGTCTTCTACCCTTATGTTTAGTTTGTTCTATAATTATTTGTTTTCATTGAACATCGTTTAAGATCTATTATGTTTAATATGAATTAGATAATTTTGTTAATTCTCCAGAAACCGTAGATTCTCGGGGAAAGAGACAGACGATATTGCACGTGCGATTGTTGATATGGATGCGTTTGATTACGTGCCAATTAATGCAAATTATTGAATGCAAAGGTTTTAAAAATTTTATGTCCATCGTTGCACCAAACTACAACATATCGTCTCGTAATTTTAATGAAATCAATGATCGAAAAGCGTACGAAGATCGTAAATCCGCTCTGTTAGAACTTGATCAAGTTGATACTGTACATGTATAGCTCTGACGACTTATCACTTGGACGTCAAACACATTGATAGAGTTACATTACAATTAGGGAACAGATTATTTTTTAAAACAAAACCATTGTGAGCCATTTATGATTTTATATCTCGTATTTATCTGATAAATAGATTGGACTTAAAAAATGTTAGATTAAATTTCGTCGGGCACAAAGTGGTCATAATTGTTACAACACAGGTTACTGTAAACCTCCCATCAGACCATGTGGTTTTATTTCAATGTTTTACAGTTATCAATTAACTTGTTCATATTTATTTAGACTTTTACCGAGTACCCGGGTACTCGATCGGAAAAACGTCCGAGTAACCGAGTATTAAAAATTGACCGATTTGACATCCCTAATAAATAGCAAAGTGATTTTCATTCTGTGTTCATTTTATAATGTGAAGCTTTATAAACAGGTATAACGAATAATACTTTTAACAAATCAGAACAGCCAGTCACGGGCACTTCATTTTAACTGTGTTTTACTGTTGTACATCTAATTACTATAAAGTGCTTTGACTGCAATTTACATTTTCATTAATTTTATAAGCCATTGATGGATTTTGTTTACTTTTTTGCTAATGTATCTATGGAGCTATAGAGTTTGCTTTGTTTCAAGGTAATATGTTTTGGCACGTTTTTCAGATCACACACAGTAATAAACAGATCCACATTATAAATCTTCAACACACATGTATGCAGTTATTTACCTTCTAATCTGACTACGAGTGGAAGCTCCAGATGTAATTTCTTACTGGCTTTGATTATCCCTGTAGCAACAGTAGCACAGTTTACAATACCTCCAAATATATTCACTAAAATTGTCTTCACCTGAAACAAAATATAAATTATACATCAAGCCAAGAAAATATTAGAAATAAAATTTAAACCCCTCATAAATTTCTTTTCCTGAATGTATTATGAGTACATATTGAATTCATACATGTGAGTCTCCCATGAGGAGAAAGAAAGCATCATGGACTTGCTGTTCTGACACCCCCCCTCCGACATCTAAAAAGTTAGCTGGTTCCCCTCCGTGAAGTTTGATAATGTCCATTGTTGCCATGGCGAGACCAGCACCATTCACTATAAATAAATATAATATGCATTCCTATATGATTTCTTAGACAAGAACCATGGGCCAAGCTTCCCTCTAAAATTATTGTCTTGATAAAAATTGAGTAAGTTTGTTGAAGATATTGCACAGAAATTTTCATAGTTAACAAACCGAGACATCCTATGCTCCCCTCCAGGGCTATGTAATTCAGTTTTAGTCGACTAGCTTCAATTTCTCGGGGATCGGTTTCTGCCATATCATCCATAGCAAATACTTCCTTCTGTCTAAAAGCAGCATTGTCATCAAAGTTGATCTTGGCATCAAAACAAACAACTGAAAGAGCAGGAAAACAAGAGGCCCAGGGGCCACATCGCTCACCTGAGCAATTGGCTAGGAAAAAGCACATACCAGATCATATCAGAACTGAAAGTTTACTGAGAGGGGGGAGGGGGCTTGAATTTAAACCCTCCAGGGGTCATGATATGTACAAACTTGAATCTAATCTACACAACCTAAGGATAATTCCCTATAAATATCATAAGGTTTCTTTATATATTCTTATGTAAACTTTTTATACGTTATTTGCCCAACCCTACCCCTGGGGGTCTTGTTGTGAATAAACTTGAATCTACACTATCCCGGGATGATTCCACAGGAGTTTCATCTTTCCTGTCTCAATGGTTCTTGAGAAGATTTTTCCTATATATTCCTATGTAAAACTTTGATCGGCCATTTTGGCCCCACCCTACCCCTGGGGGTCATGATTTGAACAAACTTGAATCTACACTACCTGAGGATGATTCCACATAAGTTTCATCTTTCCTGGCCCAGTGGTTCTTGAGAAGAAGATGTTTAAAGATTTTTCCGTTACATTCCTATGTTAAACTTTGATCAGCCATTTTGGCCTTACCCTACCCCCCGGGTCATGATTTGGGCGAACTTGAATCTTCATTACCTGAGGATGATTCCACAAAAGTTTTATCATTCCTGGCCCAGTGTTTCTTGAGAAGAAGATTTTAAAAGATTTTTCCACTATATTCCTATGTAAAACTTTGATCGGCCATTTTGGCCCCACCCTACCCCCGGGGGTCATGATATGAACTACCTTGAATCTACAATACCTGAGGATGATTCCACATAAGTTTCATCTTTCCTGGCCCAGTAGTTCTTGAGAAGAAGATTTTTAAAGATTTTTCCTATATATTTCTATGTAAAACTTTGATCGGCCATTTTGGCCCCGCCCTACCCCCAGGGGTCATGATATGAACAAACTTGAATCTACACTACCTGTGAATGCTTCCAAAAAAATTTGATCAATTGTGGCTTTGCCATTCTCGAGAAGAAGATTTTTAAAGAATTTTCCTATATATTTCTATGTAAAACTTTGGTCGGCCATTTTGGCCCCACCCAACCCCCGGGGCTCATGATATGAACAAACTTGAATCTACACTACCTGAGGATGCTTTCATATAAATATGATCAACTATGGCTTTGTTATTCTTGAGAAGAAGATTTTAAAAGATTTTTCCTTTATATTTCTATGTAAAACTTTGGTCGGCCATTTTGGCCCCGCCCAACCCCCGGGGGTCATGATATGAACAAACTTGAATCTACACTACCTGAGGATGCTTTCATATAAATATGATCAACTATGGCTTTGTTATTCTTGAGAAGAAGATTTTAAAAGATTTTTCCTATATATTTCTATGTAAAACTTTGGTCGGCCATTTTGGCCCCGCCTAACCCCCGGGGGTCATGATATGAACAAACTTGAATCTACACTACCTGAGGATGTTTCCCCAAAAGTTTCATCTTTCCTGGCACAGTGGTTCTTGAGAAGAAGATTTTTAAAAGATACCACCATTTTTTCATTAATTCCCAATTATCTCCCCTTGAATGAGGGCGTGGCCCTTCATTTGGACAAACTTGAATCCCCTTCACCCAAGGATACTTTGTGCCAAGTTGAAATTGGCCCAGTGGTTCTTGAGAAGAAGATGAAAATGTGAAAAGTTTACAACAACGACGATGACGACAACGACGACGACAACGACAGACAACGGACAAATTGTGATCAGAAAAGCTCACTTGAGCCTTTGGCTCAGGTGAGCTAAAAAGGAACTTATTACATGAAAGGAATGTAGACTACAATTACAGTTTTAAGCCAAAGGGGAACACACTTTGATTAACAATGAGAAAAAAAAATGAATTATCAAAAATTATTGATGAACATTGCTACTGTGGAATCATCGCTGTTTGTTGGAATCCAATATTTATAGATTTTTGGATCACCCTCTCTCTCAAATTTACCTCCCTGTAACTTTTTCAACTCATCAAGTTATCGAATCTTCCATACACACGAGTTAGTACCCATAAAATTACATCAACCCAGGAACCAGCAAAATCTATTTCAACCTCAAACACTGACCCTGACCAATTAAAATGATTCCACCGTAACAAATATACCCCATATCAATGACTCCATCATAGTAACAGATAAAAATACTTCTACAATCATTGCTTATCAAGACCAAAGATGTGTGTAGGAAATCCCTCAAATTGTCAACCTTTCAGAATGAAAGATAATTAGTATGTTGACATCCCTCAGTAGAGACCTAATTGTAAATTTATTTCATTTGGTGTGTATGACATTTGGCGGAAATTGATTTTTTAATAGGTTTGCATTTATTTAAATTAGTGCTCTCTGAATGTGCTTTAATAAGAATATGAGTAAATGACATCTAGTGATGTATTTGATTTAGCGGAAGATGATCTCCGCGAATAATATACACGTCCAAATATAATACATTTACAGTATCAATTTTGTTATTGTGTATCCCCTACCTCTGCCATCAGGGGTTTCTCCGAAGGGATTGATTTCCACCTGTGTGGCGTCCACTTTAACAAACAATTCATAAAGCCTACGAATCTGGTCAGCTGCCTGAAAAAAAATAAAGGGGAAAAAACTGTGGATCATGTAACTATAGGTATACTCTACAAGTATTGAAAATGAAGTCACACAAGAAACTTGTAGGTCTCTTAACAAAAATAAATGTCATCTGTTTAAATTGATATCATTTTGTAACTAGAAACCCTGATATAGTGAATGGATTAATGGACTTTTGCAAGAAGCACTGAATTTAACTTTTGACGGTTTACTTTGACATTTTAACCTGTATCATGTACGGATGTACTGAATTGACAATAGATAAGAAAACCTTTTAGTGGTCATAGGTATGGTATTAATTAGGGGCACTAACATGTGAAAGTTGGGAGTTGAAAGTAAGGGTGGTTGTAGTTTTCTTCAAGGACAACTTACATGTGTATTCAAATGCACTGTTATTTACGTTGAATGAAATGTCGAGCTAAATATTAATATCGTAAAAGAGCTTCCCTAGTGTTAAAGTAAGCCGTCAACTGTAAAAGTCAGCAATCCTTGCAAAAGTCCATTACTGTTTGTAGATTGTTGCCCTGGAATCCCAGCTTCTCAGCCACTGACAGACATTGCCTCTCTGTGACACTAGTCATTATATCTACTGGCTCCTGCAAAAATGATAAGAAAAAATTATTTAAAAACATAAGTGCAGGAAAAAAGTAAAAAAATGCATGCATTAAAACGATTGGTGCCTTGAACAAATCATACTAAAGACTAGATGAGATCTCGTTGCAAGCAACAAGTAGGTCTTCCGTCCGATTTTTCGATAAGATATGATTTTGGCAATGATCTTTGTTAAATCATAATGATATCAAGACTTAGAAAACTCTCCTTTCATTAAATTCTGTTACTTTCTACTATAAAATAATTAAAATACATGTTGTTATCATAATGAATGAAAGTCTTTTGGCCCCTAAGGGCCCCTTATTTGAGGGGTCAGACCCTTTCTTCCTATCCAATGATAAGGTTTTTTATTTTAAAGATTTTTTGTTCAACAACTATTAAGATATTTCTTTTCGTTTTCGCGATATGAAGGATAGAAAAATTTAGGGGCCAATCCTTTATATCCTTAATAGGATGTTTTTGCATATATAGATTGGTTGTAAAATGTTTAAAAGACAACACTGATCATCTTTTACTCCATTCCGCTTATCAAAATATTTCCCCTTTTGGAGATATAAAGAATCCAAGAATGAGCATTTTGGTCCCTTATGACCCCTTATTACGTAACATATTATCACAATTTTTCAGTGCATTGATGCAGATTGTTATGATAAACATTTTTGCTTCAGTTATTTATAACAAAAAATTGATAAATAAAGAGCTATAGATGAGAGACTTTTGGCCTCTCTTTGCCCTTTATTTAAGGGGTCACACCCCTTTTCTTTATATAAAATGATAGAAAATCTAGTTCTGAACAACTTTTATTATCTATCTTTTAACAAATTATTGACAGGTATCAAGATATCAGAGAAAAAGTGTTAAATTTTGCGAGATATTTCCGAGCCTATTTTTTGGCTCAGGCGAGCTTCAACGCCTTTTGCGCTGGAAAGATATAGACTCAAAAAAGCAATTCAGCATACCTTCCTCTACCTTCACTGAAAATCTCAAGTCAATATCTTAATTCGTTTTGGATTGATTGCCAGGACAAGCCGACCCTCTGAAAATCAGTAAATCGTCCATATCTCACGACCGGAAGTGACGACGTACATATATAAAAAAATTTCCAATAAGGTTCAGACCAATATCTATCAGATCTGAAAGTTTCGTGAAAATCGACCAAGCCGTTTCCGAGAACTCGCGTGCACAAAATCGGTAAGAAAAAAAAAGAATAATAATAATAATAGGGAAAAAGAAACCAAAGACCTTAAAAATGTCACATACTCATACAATGGCTCACCAGTACATCCTTTAAAGCCATTTAAAACATTGTGACATTGAGTCAAACTATACTCAATCCCATATGAATTTCAATCTCAATATAAATTACTTTATACAAGTAAATACATATTTTTTAATTGTGTTCAGCATCATTTCTCTTTAGTATATTATAGTGATCATACGATGTGATTTACAATGTTTTGAATGTGAACAATCCCTCCCCCCTACAAACCTTGATAATAGAGTGTGGGTCTGTAGCGGCAGTTTCTTCTATGTCCATTCCTCCATGCTTACTGCCAATTATCACTGGTCCTGCAAATGATCTGTCTAACACAATGGCAAAGTAGGTCTCCCTGGCTAGGTCTAATGCCTCGGCCACCATCACCTGGTATAAAAACAAACAGCCATACTGAAAGTTACTTCTGTATGAATTATAAAAACCTGCCTACCATCACCTGATATGAAAGCAAGCATTCAAAGTATACTTCTTTATAAATTATTATTTAATAAGAGGCCCATGTGCTACAACCTCACCTGAGTAACTTTGACTGTGCTGTTCTTCTCCAGATTCTCCCCTTTGTAATACCTAATGTGGCCTTACCCTACCCCAAGAGTTATTGATTTGTACATGTTGTACAATTTAGAATCTACACCACCCAAGAATGCTTCCATATGAGTTTTAGATCTACCCCCTAATCTTAACCACCCCCTGCACCCAATTGGAATATCTTATCATAATAACCACCTTATTTCTGCTGTTTCATGATTATATCCCCATTTATAGGAACAGACTAGAATCCCTTTTTAAAACTTCATTATACTGTGTACAAGGTTGATCCAGTGGTTCTGGAGATGAAGAAATTGTGTGAAAGGGTTATGACAACAACAGTGTGTGAAACTAAACAGGAGAATGAGATAGCCCACAGGGCTATCTCATTTTAAAGTGGGATAGACCTTAGAGAAATGGGACTGTCCACAACAAAAATTAAAGACGAAAAAATGCACTCATTTTTAAACATGTATTCATAAATTATATATTTATTAATACGCTTGTTTTCATTCATATATACAGGTATATATTTCTAATCGTATTTATTTTATTGATGAAGTATATGAAGTATATGTATCCATTACATTCTCATTATTACCGGTACCTTGTCAAAATAAAGTATAAAATCAGTGTCCGACAAAAATATTTGCCGTGTTAATTTTCAGATTCGTTGCAAATGAACTTCATTCTGCAGACAAGTTTATGTTTGTGAAAGACACAAACTCTTAAATTATCTTTGTTGCTTTCCCTTTTATGACTTTTAAAAATTCACTTTGTGTTTAATCTCACGCTTCCATCCAGTAACCAGCGGTCAGAATTCGCTATGACAAATGTGCAACAGGAAGCGAACATTGGATAAAAGTAGTACACGATCACCGTTAATTTGTTAAAAGATACGCAATGTTCTGAATTTTGAGATTTAATGATAATACTTTTAACACAGAGTAAAAAACTATGTCTCAGAATCATTTTATTTTGAACGACATGTTTGATTTTTTATTCAATCCAGAGACGTACAAGTGTATAATACGTCTCTGTTTACGTCTCAATTTACTCATGGCCAAAATTGGGATAGACAATTCAGTCTTCTTGAATTCAGATCGGCGTAGCCCGAGTCAACTTGGGATAGATTCGGACTATCGGTCAGGTGTTAATTTCGCACACTGCAACAATGACAGACAATGGCAAATTTAAACAGAAAAGCTCACTGGTCTTGGGTTAAGGCTCAGGTAAGCTAAACATATACGCCACACACACACTCAAACCTTTGACACTTTGACTCCATCTCCTGTTGTTTGTTTTGTCTTTAGTTTGTGTCCCAGCATACTTGTGACCAGACCCTCCACTTCACTTGGGCTACAAAATGTATGGCAGAGAAAAAGAATTTTCATGGCTTTTTCAGATGCAGATTTTATTAGGATTTTTAGCTTGTACAAAACTAAGATAACAGTCTATAAAAATTAGTTACTACAACATCATGTCTTTCATGTATCAAAATAGAAAACTTTTTGCTGTAGTTTGGAATCAAAGGTTGTAAAAAGACTCTTTCTATGATGAATCTAGGGAGATCAAGTTATCAAACCAATCAGTGATAATGCATTAATATTCTATTGATCCAAGAATCTACATTGAGATCATCTGATAGCTTACTTCTTTGTGAGATGGACTCCTCCTTTGAATCCATTAGAAAACACACCTTTCCCTCTGCCTCCAGCCAGAATCTGAGCCTTTATCACATATTCATCAACCTCTAAAAAAATATAATGTATTCAAGAACTGCACAGGAAGAAGGGATGCAGTGCATTAAATTTAGGTAATAACTAGAACTGTCCAAACGGGACAAAATACCCCCCGCTGGGTTTTTCAGAAGTAAGTTTTTCCATAATAAAAATATGTATCACACATGAATTATGAAATTTTTCTTCCAGTGACCTTGAAGTTTCCCAAATGACCTTGCATCAATGTCATGACATGCCCTTGGGTCATGGGCAATTTTTGTGTGAAATGAGAACCTACCAAGTTTATCAATAAGAAAGATATGGACCGGACATGAATTATGAAGTTTTTCTTCCAGTGACCTTGAACTTCCCCAAATGACCTTGAATTAAGGTCATGACAAACCCTTGGGTCATTGGCAATCTTTGTGTAGAATGAGAACCTACCAAGTTTATCCATAAGAAAGATATGGACCGGACACAAATTATGAATTTTACTTCCAGTGACCTTGAACTTCTCCAAATGACCTTGGGTCAAGGTCATGACACACCCTTAGGTCATGGGCAATCTTTGGGTGAAATGAGAACCTACCAAGTTTATCCATAAGAAAGATATGGACCGGACACGAATTATGAACTTTTTCTTCCAGTGACCTTGAACTTCCCCAAATGACCTTGGGTCAAGGTCAGGACACATCCTTGTGTTATGGGCAATCTTTGCATGAAATGAGAACCTACCAAGTTTATCCATAAAAAAGATGTAGACCGGACACAAATTATGAAATTTTTCTTCCAGTGACCTTGAACTTTCCCAATGACCTTGGGTCAAGGTCAGGACAAATCCTTGGGTCATGGGCAATCTTTGCATGAAATGAGAACCTACCAAGTTTATCCATAAAAAAGATGTAGACCGGACACAAATTATGAAAAATTTCTTCCAGTGACCTTGAACTTCCCCAAATGACCTTGGGTCAAGGTCATGACACACCCTTGGAACATGGGCAATCTTTGTGTGGAGTAGTAGATTCTAATGTCCCTCCGTAAGAAAGATATGGACTGGACACGTTTGCACAGACAGACGGACAGCTAGACAGACGGACAGACGGACAAGGTGATTCCTATATACCCCCCAAACTTCGTTTGCGGGGGGTATGAAAATATTTGATTGACATACCACATGATTTCTCTCTGTTGCAAAAATTTTTAATTTTGTTGATTTTTTAAATTAAAATAGTGTATTGTCATTTTTCTGGCATTTTAGCTTTCAGTCTGTGACATGAACTTGCCCACTTGACCTTTAATACGCCCTATCATGTGCAATATTAAAATTTTATTAATTATACAAACATACATGCAAACATATTATTGATTAGATCTTACAACATTTACAACACTGCTTTTTGCAAATGAACAGCTCTCACTTGGGCCCATGAGGGAAAGAGACAAATAGGATGGCCAAAGAACACCTAGTGATGCTGTGTTGAGAAAGAAAGAGAACTGGGTTGGAACAGTTGGAGGAAGGGGCAGGTTGTTACCAGTGAACGCCGTAAGTGGCATTCTTTGTTGAAAAGCCTCATACGTCCTCTGGACAACAGAGTGGAGAAGTAAGTATGTTTTGCATATAACCTTAAGCTAATACCAAAATTACCTTGAGTCTAGGTCACAGAACAACCCATACAAATGACCTTGTGTCAAAGTCATAACATTCCTAACTATCTGACCATGACATAAGTAAAGCCTTTGCTAAGTTTGAGCTTCAAAGTTTCTCCATTAGGGAACTTGGTTATGCACTCTTTCTGTCAGTGACCTAGATCTCAGCCAAATGACCTTCTTGAACATTTTGAGGGTTTGATCACAACCTAAGGTTAATTGTAGGCAATCTGTTTTAGCATGAGTTTCCAATGTTTCTGTTATGCAATCATGACCTGTACAAGATAGCTAACAGAGACAAAGTAATCTGTGACCCACAATCATTGGTGCAGAAAATTTAGTTTTAGACAAATATTTACCTAGTTTTTTGGCTGCTGTTTTGGCCTCTTCGACGGAGCTGCAAACAACAAACTTCTGACAATTGATCCCATTATCCAACATAAGCTTCTTGCTTTGATACTCCTGTAGACTCAAGCATCTTATGGAAATACAGAAAACATTCTTCTGCTGTATAAAAAAATATGTGAGTTATAAAAAAAACCACTTGGTAAGTACAAAATAGAATAGAATATATTTATTATTCCAGATCAGGGCCCTTGTAGGCATATTACATACATGATTATTAAATCATATAGTACATGTGAAGTATGTTTAATTTGGCCGAGGCTATACGCACGACGGTCGTGCTAATTACCGATGTTATCCGCACGACGGTCGTGCCGACAACTAAAGTTATTCGCACGACGGTCGTGCGAATTATAAACGTTATTCGCACGACAAACTTCAAAATTAATTTATATTATTTAATTATACGTTTATTAATTTGTATTGTATTTTTACTTTTATATGATTTTTTTTACTTGTCATTCTGCATCTGTACGTTGAAATTCAAAACAAATTTTATTTATTAGACATCCGCAAAATGCCTTTTCCATGCTTCCTATTCAGGAGTTCCTATGCAAGAGTTTTTTAAAAATGTGATTTAGCCAACTTTTTTGCATTGATATGATTTTTCCAATAAAAAAAAGAAGAAAAGAAAGATCCCACCCCCCCCCCCCCCCCCCAGAAAAAAAAAACAATTTAAGAAAAAGCAATTTTATGTCTAGATATGACCATGTAATGATGGTGTTTATTTCCTAAGCACATTTTTTACAGTGTACTGAACGAATATACGACACTCAAATTTCAAATTTCTAAATACCCTTGACATGATACATGTACCTGGACCACTACAATATAGGAATCAAGATTACGATCTCAATATGGTAATAACTAAAAGAACAAACAAGGTTACCCTCTTTCATGTGTTGTGTTTATCTAAAAATAAATTAAATTTCGCATTTTTATAATGAGTGATAGTTTTCTTATTTGTAAAATAATGCTGTACTTAAAATAATAAAGCATAGAATAAATTTAATCTAACAGCATAATTATGATTACCTCCAATTAATTTCTCAAGTGCGGATCGACATCAGAGAAAGTTCGTCTCGTTGAGCAGTGTGAAGATAGTAAGTTGTTAGAACTTGTTTCTTATCCTTTTGGTTACCAATAAAATATTTTCAAAACAAAACAGCAGTGACAACTGTATACATTTTTCTCTTTAGGTTTATCTAAATTTAATAAATGTAAGTGATTTTGGGTCCGTTTCTTCTTTTTTTTTATTTACTTAAAATAAGTTTTAAATCGTGCAGGTTCGAGGCAATATGTGATATTATTGTATATTTTTAAGGGTGGAGTGGGGTGTTATTTTGGAAATTCAAAACATTTTTATACATGCAGTACAAATCACAGGCACCTGAAGTATGGATAATACCCCCCTTTTTTTTTCATGAAAAAAAAATGTAAGAGTGTATAATACCTCGAAAATATAAAATTTCCCCGTCAAACACATCTATATGTCGTTATATGCAAGCAGATTGAACTTTTTCTCACGTTTAAAGAATGGCCCTATTCGGTATAATAAAAATTTTATTATACCGAATAGGGCCATTCTTTAAACGTGAGAAAAAGTTCAATCTGCTTGTAATGACATATAGATGTGTTTGACAGGGAAATTTTATATTTTCGAGGTATTATACACTCTTACATTTTTTTTCATTAAAAAAGGGGGTATTATCCATACTTCAGGTGCCTGTGGTACAAATAACGAAAATGCAACTAATGAATTATCATATTTTTAAACAAAACAAGATTAAAATATACTGGGTTTTCTCTCTGTCATTTTGGGGACTAGGGGTCGCCCCGGTCTAAAAATCCGCGAGGTTTTTTCATACTTGAATCCTTCAACTATCGCAGTTCTACGTGTACTTGCCGCATGGTCAATTTCTCGACCGTGGGCGCGATTCACGTGCACAAGAGGTACTTATATAGGGACTTATAAGTACACATCTCAAAAAATTAATACGGAAAATAGGACATAATATTTTGTTCATATTATAATTTTTACGTGAAGTATTCGGAAGAAATAGGAGAGAGAGAGAGAATTAAAAAACGAGGGGGGGGGGGGGGGGGGCTGAGACCGTAAATAAAGGGAAGTAGGCCTATATTATTATTAGAAAAATATTTGTGTACAGCCTATAATATATAATTTTTGCTCCAATCAACATAACCTTGGATAAATGCTCAAGAATTAAATAATACAAAGGATGAATAATATTAATTTTAAAAATGTTTATCGCGGCATGACGAAGAATATTCAATAAAGGCAATTTTGAAAGCAAATAAAGGAGTATTATAATTTATTTTATGTATCAAGTAAATTATATTATTATTTTTTTTGGGGGGGGGAGGGGTGAAAAATATAAGTTCGTTGTACATGTAATGGTTTGGGCCGTGGATATCGGCCTGGATAGCTCAGTTGGTAGAGCACCTGACTAGAGATACAGGGGTCCCGGGTTCGATTCCCGGTCCAGCCATACATTTTCTCCTTTCCTGTTACAGATTTGGTGCCGTGACCAATGGTTGGGGCCGTGGATATCGGCCTGGATAGCTCAGTTGGTAGAGCACCTGACTAGAGATACAGGGGTCCCGGGTTCGATTCCCGGTCCAGCCATACATTTTCTCCTTTCCTGTTACATACATATCACAGGCACTTGTTTCGTATACGGGGTACCCCGTATACGAAACAAGTGCCTGTTGTACATATATATATAATTTCCGCCACCAACAGCGTTGTATACATGTAATTAATGTTAGAGTTATCTCTCTTGTGTCGTGCGGATAAGAACTGTAATTAGCACGACCGTCGTGCGGATAACGAAATTTATCGGCACGACGGTCGTGCCGATAGACACTTCCGTTTAATATTTTCAATTCTACAGTGCTACTCTCAAAAAGAGTGTAAACACTAAACAGCACACCAATCACAGCTAAAAGCCCTGTATTTACATGTTAAAAATTGTTTTGGGGTAGTTTATTTCGAGTTACATTTCTGGTATTCTTTTTATAACAAGGTCAAGTGTTATCAGCTGATAACAGATAGGCCTAAGTGGGTTGTCTATGCAAAACATTGGGAAAAAATGTTATACCACCGTATCTCGTACTTATTTCTATAATTAAGACTCGTCTTATTAACCCAATTTTGGAAACTTACCTTCTCTTTCTTAAAATTCTGCAGAATGGAGCTGAAATTAGACAATTTTCGATACGTCCGAAGCATGTTCATGGGCGCAGACATATTTCTGTGATGTGTTATACGTCATTGGTTTGAGTGGTATAGTATTTTACGGATAATCGTAAAAATACAAGAACGGATTATTTGGATCACTCAAGCAATCAATTTTTCAATGCCAGAAAAAGACTAATTGTGTATCAAAAATTGAAAATATTAAAATTTTCTTTTTTTCACCAAAAAGCTAAGCAAACAAGTAAATATATTCTTATTCTTTTTTTTTTTTTTTTTTTTTTTTTTTATAATTTTAAGAAATCCAAATTATACCGAAAAAAATTTCTTCCTCAAGGAAATCCGTTTTCAACCTTGACCCTGTTAAAGTTAAATTAGGAAAACGGACACTCCAACTTAAATTGAATGTAGGCTATATTTAAAATGGAAGGACTTATACCTGTGATTAACAAACTTCAAGATGTATTTAATACTGTCGGCTCAGAAGTCATAAACCTACCACAAATTGTAGTGATTGGTAATCAGGTGAGTCGGGCATTGATGCCCTGGGGTGTCTTAAATATGTATTGTAACAGGTTGGGCACACACCCCCAAATGGTCATTAAACCCCCGTTTGGTGGTCAATCGCCCATATCGGCGTCTTTATTACCTACCAAATGGGAGAGAAAAATCGTTTTGTTAAGTTCTCTGGAATAACGTGAAATGGCGCATAATTTCAACTCACAGGGAATAAAATATAGATATTTTTCTAAACTTTGAACGAAAAAAATCAGAATTTCAACGCGGACATTTTTGCGCAGTGTCGTTCAAATATTTGACAAAATCGTCACCTATGTAAACAAGAGTAACTTTTCTGTGTTTTAACTTAAAAAGAAAAATTCCCTCCATCTCGCGCGTAGTTGAGCCTATCAATCGTGTTTATCACTTCATATTTCTGTCATCCGGGTAACCGATCAATTATCTTAACCAATTAAAAATGACGATCTTTTCCGAACTTGGGTCAAAAGACTGATTTAACTACGGAGGCCCATTAGTGTAAATTTTCAAAAAGTAAAGTACGATGAAGGGTAAGAATTCTCTTTTATATCGTTTATTTCGTATGTTATGGCTTTATTTTTTACAAAAATACAATATGCCGTGAATTTATGATAAAATAATCGCTGAAAAACTATAATCTTGGAATAAAAATAAGAATAATTGCAAATTCACTTTGTAAATTTTTTATTCAAAAATTTTTAATAAATATAGTAGATACATCATAGATATGCATATTAAACCTCAAAGGGTCGCACAGAAATCGTAACTTCATCCTAAAACAAAATAAAGAATAAATGTTACATTCAAATGTAGAAAAAAAATGAATATTACAGCAATAAGTGCCCACCATACGAATACAATACGAGGAGCTCGTGTTTAACGGGATTTTATAGAGATTTATACAGACGCAGATTGAAAGATCATTTGAAAAGTTACTTCTCTAGACTAACACTTCTTGTTTAAATATATTTTTTACCAAACTATACACAACAAAATACTTTTTTGTATTGATTGAGCAAATAGTTCGGCCGTCACGGACAACTGTGGGCTTCGTTTTTACGAAGTTTCAAAGAAATTCCACATGGAAAATTGACTAGATTGTATTAAATGCCCGAGGAATATGTTAATTAAAATTCCCCAATGCCAAAGTAAATGCGCTTTTGCTTTATTTTAATAAAAATTGGATTTGAATAAAAAAGACCACCATTTGGTAGGTAAAAAAGATGCCGATATGGGCGATTGACCACCAAACGGGGGTTTAATGACCATTTGGGGGTGTGTGCCCAACCTGTTGTAATACCGGTTTCAATGTCAAGAAAATAAAAACGAATATTGCATTGCATAATCAATAATCGAAAATGAAACTTAAAATTTTGAAACCTAGCCAATATATTTTTAAGAGGGATTGTAAATGTCTGCGTAATAAATAATTAAAATGAAGTTCAAATTATTGACATTTCTCTTTTTTAACAGGCCTACATACATTTGCAATTAATGAAAGTCTTTAAACTCACTGGAAATATTTTAAGTTCACCTCAACAAAGTCAAGATGAGGTTTTATTCTATATCTCCAGTATTGACATCCCCGTTTAAGTTTTAGGAGCAGGTCCATTCCAATGCAAGTAACTATAACCCCTACCTGGACCAAACTTCCATGTATGACGACTGTGTATATTTTGCCTGACTTTGTACAAATCTTGTCTGACTTTCTATATACTTTGTCACTTTATGTTTTGTAGAGCTCTGGTAAAAGTTCCGTGATTGAGAGTTTGGTAGGACGAGATTTCCTCCCTAGAGGTACCGGTATCGTTACCCGGCGACCTTTGATCCTTCAGCTGATACACGTCAGTAAAAGTGACAGAGAGGCAAGAGCACAGGATGGAGGTAAGATTCTATGAATAGTCAAATACCAACTTCAGAAATATTGAATAAATTTAAAATTAGTATTATTTTACATTTTTATTGTACTCATAACAAAATAAATAAGGGCAGAAAATCAGTTAAGAATCCTGGCTGTATGGATTATATATATTTATAATAAAATTCATTTGAAATTGTGTGGCAATTCTCTGAAAGAATCAATTTACTAAAAACGTGCAAATTTACAGCTTTAGGAACCACCATCATAGCAATAAGCTTCATGGCTTTAAAATTGTATTAATAATCATGATAATGGCATAAAATGACACAGCTTGTGAAATAACAGGTGCTCAGCAAGCTTGCAAACAAAGCATGAATCAGTGTTAAAAAGCAATAGATTCACAAATTATATCATGATTGTTATCATTTTAAATTTCTTTCTGGTGATTATTTATAGATCCAATTAAAGCAGAAGAATGGGGGAAATTCCTGCATACAAAGAACAAAATCTACACAGACTTTCAGGAGATTCGACATGAAATTGAAAATGAAACAGACAGAATGTCAGGATCCAATAAGGTGATTATGAAAGAATATGAGTTACAGTCACATAACTAAAATCAGGATATTTATAGCTATAGAATTGAAGAACAAATTTCATAATGAATTTACATATAAATTTTTTTACCTTTCAGAAATGATTTATTGTACACAAATAAGTTTGCAACCTATTACAAATTATGATGAAGTTTTGTCATACATTAATTATTTATCTTTCTCAATCCTTCAAGAAAGTAAAGAAGTCAAGAAAACAGAAATCAAGAAGATTCAACATATTTCTATTTTTAGCTCACCTCGACGAAGTCGAGATGAGCTTATGCTATACCCCCGGCATTGGCGTCGGCGTTAGCGTCAGGTCCCAGGTTAAAGTTTTAGGAGCAAGTCCATTCCCAAGTAACTATAAGCCCTACCTGAACCAAACTTGCATGGATGATGCATCTAGGGATGTACACTACCAGACTTGCTCCGGATGCTGGATCTGACCTACATTTTGTAGATGAGTGACCAGGTTAAAGTTTTTGGAGCAGGTTACAGTTTTTGGAGCAAGTCCATTCCCAAGAAACTATAAGCCCTACTGGGACCAGATTTGCATGGATGATGCATCTAGGGATGTACATTACCAGACTTGCTTCAGATGCTGGATCTGACCTACATTTTCTAGATGAGTGACCAGGTTAAAGTTTTTTGAGCAGGTTAAAGTTTTTGGAGCAGGTCCAGGGCTCCCACTGGACCGAAAATATTTTTCGCCACTTTTCGCGACACAAGCTTTAAGGAAATAAGACATACTTACATCTGATTTCTCGACAATGCAATGCACATTTTGTTATTCAAGTTTTTTTTATTATGTTTATCTGACACAGACATTCTTTTAAAATTGTAATGTTTAAAGCTTATGGTAGTATCCATTTTAAAAAAAGAAAAAAAATAATAATGTTGGAATCACACAATTAATTTGATATTGTATTGATGTCAGCCAACTCTTAACAGAAAATGTCCTCTTGTTTATATTTTTTCGCCTGGGAAGGAGGGGAGGGGGGGGGGGGGGGGGGGGGGGGGCTACAGACCTAGTAAAAATATGACATTTTTTAAAAATGGAAATTTTCATCATTTCATTAATTAATTGTGAAAAGAAGTAAATTAAAAAGTAATGAAAGTTATGTTTGAAACTTGACTTTATTTTAACAACTAGGGGACTCCAAGGTTTAATATGCAAGCTCATGTTATTGTAAATAATTCAGTGTAATTTACTAACTACAGATAATTCTGTTTCCAAACCAATTTCTTTTTCACTCTCTGTCAGTTATATAATGATATACACATGTTTCAATTTTCAGTAGGTAAAATTTGAAGCCATTCTTTACAATTTTCGTCATGTTTCCCTACTTTCGGTTTTAAAAAAAACGATCTACATAGATCCAGATTTTGTTGATAAAAATCTTTTATTTACAAACTTCACACTTTATCCCCCCTTGTTTAATCCAAATAGTATTATTTTAAGCAATTTTGTAACCCTTTATTGCTCCAGGCTAGTTACCTAGTCAGCCTTATTCGTTCAAGCGAGACATGATTTCCTACATGTAGGTTTCAGTTTTCACACCTCTGCTGCATTAAATAAACAATGGGACTTATCTGTGTACATTGAATAAACCAAGGAACTAATTAGGACTACACAAATTTTGTACATGGTACATCTAAAAAATTCATTTTCGCCACTTATGAATTTCTTTTCGCCACTTTTGAAAAAAATTCGCAATTGGCGACAATGGCGAATCACAGCTCGAGCCCTGCAGGTCCATTCCCAAGGAATTATAAGCCCTACCTGGACCAAACTTGCATGGATGATGCATCTAGGGATGTACACTACCAGACTTGCTTCCGATGCTGGATTTGACCTACATTTTCTAGATGAGTGACCAGGTTAAAGTTTTTGTACACTTCCAGACTTGCTTCGGATGCTGGATCTGACCTACATTTTCCAGATGAGTGTCCAGGTTCAAGTTTTTGGAGCAGGTCCATTCCACAGGAACTATAAGCCCTATTTGGACCAAACTTGCATGGATGATGCATCTAGGGATGGACACTACCAGACTTGCTACGGATGCTGGATCTGACCTTCATTTTCATTCCCAAGTAACTATAAGCCCTAGCTAAACCAAACTTGCATGGATGATGCATCTAAGGATGGACACAATCAGACTTGCTTCGGATGCTGGATCTGACCTATATTTTCCATACAAGAGACCAGGTTAAAGTTTTGGGAACAGATCAATTCGAATGAACTTGATTCCCTTGATATCTGCAGTATTAACAGTTATGAATATTTGTTTACATTATACATGTTTTTCACGCTACACGTGTAGAAATGTGTATATGCCATGTTAGGGGTTAAACACAACTTGCAAGAATATTGGATGAATACTAAATATTAAGAAAATATGATGTGAGATTTGCATAACTTAAACTGATAACATTCGTCGAGGTGAGCTTCGTAATCTTTGATTACCTATGTTTTGAATTAAGGGAATTTGCCCAGAGCCAATCAGTTTGAAAATTTACTCAAATAAAGTGGTCAGTCTGACATTGGTTGACCTGCCTGGAATGACCAAAGTCCCTGTGGGGGATCAGCCAGAAGACATAGAACTCCAGATACGTGACCTGTGCATGGATTACATCCAGAATCCTAACTCTATCATCCTGGCAGTGTGTGCTGCCAACACGGACATGGCCACTTCAGAATCCCTCAAGCTCGCTAAAGAAGTAGATCCTGATGGTAAAAAAACATTTCTATTCATTTAGAGATTCTGTTCTCAATAACTAGCATTGTTAAATTGAATATCTAGGCCATCTTTTAAAAGAGTTTGTTTGCCCCGTCCTGACAGACTGGTTAAAAATGGCTTGACTTGAAAGTTTAATGCTTTAATGCTGTTTATTTCAGGTCGGCGTACATTGGCAGTAGTGACAAAGCTGGACCTTATGGACCACGGAACAGATGCAATGGAGGTTTTGTGTGGGCGTGTCATACCGGTAAAGCTAGGAATTGTAGGTGTGGTCAACAGAAGTCAAGCTGACATCAACAAAAACAAGGTAATAACAATAAATGGGTCTGTCAACCAGTTATCCGCTACAAGAAAAATCAAAGTATTGAAAGAACTGAAAGCCGGGCTTTAATTGCTTGAGTATATTGTCTGATCCAAAAAAAGTACATATTTAATTTTTTTTTCCTTTTGGCCATTGATTTTTTAATAGGTATAGTGTTTATGATCAGAGTTGTGGAAAACTGCCAGTCATGCCGGCAAATCCGACAAAAAATTCGCATGACCGGTAAAAATGCTATCAATGTCGGTCCAAATGACTGGCTTCTTTTTTGGTTAAATTTTTTTTTTTTGTCCATTTATCATCTGTGCATTTCCCATCTTAATATTATCGTACCTTATATACCATTGCATAATACCTTTTCTTTAAACGAGATTGAGGCTGTAAATGAAAGCGAAACTAGCATGGTTCTCGTGACCTATTAAATTTACAACTGCCGAACTGGTACAGAATTAAGTAGAAAACATCTTAAAGAAAAAGATAAAGACATGCAAAATTTGAAAAATTTCAACAGAAAGAATTCATGCACAGGTGGGGAAATCAGTAAATCTAGTACTTCCAACTGTTCCGGATATTCGTTTTTTCACCGATCATGTTGATATCTTAATTATCGATGCAAGGAATTTTTGCAATTTTCAGACCCATTTTTTTTAGGTTTATATAATTCCAAAATGCATAAATGTTTAATAAAATTACATTCACTATGCTGAATTAGCATGGTCACCTGCCCAAAAGCGGTGGTATCAAGTAATATGTTATAAATGCAAAATTAAATGAAAACAGAAGATGACTTGGAAATGGAGACTGAAGTTTGTATTATTTTTAACATGATTTATTAAATACAACTGTAGATGTGTATTAAAGTAAAAAAATATTATGGTTTTTTTAGGTCACCTGAGTAACTCAGGTGACCTATTGCTATCCGTTTTCGTCCGTCGTCGTGCGTCGTGTGTCGTGCGTCGTGTGTTAACATTTGAACATTTTCAGCTTCTTCTCTGAAACCACTGAACCAATTTCAACCAAATTTGGTTTGCAGCATCTATGGATAGAGGGGAACACAAATTGTGAATTTCATGGTCCCTGCCCCCCTGGGGCCTGAGGGGTGTGGCCAAAACCACTAAAATTATTGCAATCTTTAAAAATCTTCTTCTTTACTCCTGGACATCAAGCAGGCAAACTGTTGGCATGAATGTAATGAGCATTGAGTCCTCTACCTAAATTGTGAAATTCATGGCCCCAGGGTCAGGGGTTCTAGTGCTAGGGCGGGGCTCAATAGATTATGTAGTGAAAATGCATTATTTCTTTGAAAATCTTCTTCTCTGCTCCTGGGTATTAAATAAACCAACTAAGCACATAGTTATGATGAGCAAGAGTGCTTCTTCCAGATTTGTGAATTTTATGGCCCCAGGGTTAGGGTTTCTGGTGTTAGGGCGGGGCTCTATAGATTATATAGTGAAAATGCATTATTTCTTTGAAAATCTTCTTCTCTGCTTCTGGGTATTAAATAAACTAACTAAGCACACAGTTATGGTGAGCAAGAGTATCTCTTCCAGATTTGTGAATTTTATGGCCCCAGGGTCAGGGTTTCTGGTGTTAGGGTGGGGCTCTATAGATTATATAGTGAAAATGCATTATTTCTTTGAAAATCTTCTTCTCTGCTCCTGGATATTAAATAAACTAACTAAGCAAATAGTTATGATGAGCAAGAGTGCCTCTTCCAGATTTGTGAATTTTATGGCCCCAGGGTCAGGGTTTCTGGTGTTAGGGCGGGGCTCTATAGATTATATAGTAAAAATGCATTATTTCTTTGAAAATCTTTTTCTCTGCTTCTGGGTATTAAATAAACCAACTAAGCAAAAAGTTATGATGAGCAAGAGTGCCTCTTCCAGATTTGTGAATTTTATGGCCCCAGGGTCAGGGTTTCTGGTGTTAGGGCGGGGCTCTATTGATTATATAGTGAAAATGCATTTTTTCTTTGAAAATCTTCTTCTCTGCTTCTGGGTATTAAATAAACTAACTAAGCACATAGTTATGATGAGCAACATTGCCTCTTCCAAAATTGTGAATTTTATTGCCCCAGGGTTAGGTGTTCTGGTGTTAGGGCGGGGCTCTATAGATTATATAGTAAAAATGCAGTATTTCTTTGAAAATCTTTTTCTCTGCTTCTGGGTATTAAATAAACCAACTAAGCAAAAAGTTATGATGAGCAAGAGTGCCTCTTCCAGATTTGTGAATTTTATGGCCCCAGGGTCAGGGTTTCTGGTGTTAGGGCGGGGCTATATTGATTATATAGTGAAAATGCATTTTTTCTTTGAAAATCTTCTTCTCTGCTTCTGGGTATTAAATAAACTAACTAAGCGCATAGTTATGATGAGCAACATTGCCTCTTCCAAAATTGTGAATTTTATTGCCCCAGGGTTAGGTGTTCTGGTGTTAGGGCGGGGCTCTATTGATTATCTAGTAAAAATACATTAATTCTTTGAAAATATTTTCCTTTGCTTCTGGGCTTTGTGCCAATGATCCAAGTATACATACATTTATGATGAAGAATGGTGCATCTAGCAAAGTGGTTTTTTATGCCCCCAGAGTCAGAGATGGGGGGGGTTACATAGTCTGAAAATAAATTAATGCTTTGAAATCTGCTCTTTGGTATTTATCAACCATTTTATGACAACATTTTCAAAATTTTGAAATACCGGTATGTGGCCCATGAATCAGTGGTTCCTTTAGGTGAGGTAAATAAACTGGGTATAAAATGGAAGTGCATTTTCTTTTTGTTACTCTGATCTACCTGTGGGTATTAAGTAAATAGAGTAAGTTAAGTTAATAATTATGATAAGCAATGGTGCCTCTTTCAAAATTGTAGATTGTAAATTGAATTTCATGGCCTCTGGTTCAAAACACAAACCAAATTTAATTGTTTGAAAGTTGTTACACAATACTCAGGTGACCTATAAGGCCCGTGGGCCTCTTGTTTATTTTGCGACTTACTATTTCAGACTGACAAAAATCACTTCGGACCGGCTTATTTTGTTTTCTTGCCAGTCCGAATGACCGGTTATCTGAAAAAGTTTTCCACAACTCTGTATGATTATGATTTAAAACAATATCCCATATACCAGTAATTAAAATTAACAGTCCATATACCGCATGATATGCTATGATTTTAAAATTTAATAAATAATATTTCCAAGAAATTCTCGCATATTTTCTATTCAATAAGCATTTTTTCTCATAATTTCATAATTTGAAAATTCAGTCTTGGAATAGTTAAAATAATGCACATATGTATTTTATAGACATTCTTTTAGTTTCAAACAAACAGTACTTTTATCGCCAATTACATGTAGAAACACTGATACATGTACATTGTCAAGCAACTTCACACATGTTAATTCTTAAAATTCCAATTCACGATACTATTAATTTGCTAAAAATCAAAACAGAATATAACCACTAACATAACATTGACGAAAAAGATATGAAACATGAAACTGTTCAACAATTCCAACATTTCGAAAAGCCCGCGCTATTGAAAATAGTTCGCTTACAATATGCATTCAGCAGCGTGTGTCACACTGCGAACAAATTATTATATCATGATTAGCCCAGTAAAGCAAATACCTAATTTCTCTTTCGGATTTATTCTCAAGCAAAAATATTGATCATTAACTTTTCCAACGATTGGGATTTAAAAAATATTGAATATCGTCTCACAATGGGACTATTTTGTTTATCGGAAGTGTCTGCTCTAACTCTATGTCAGTTTGGTTTTTTGTTTACTGTGCTATTTATAGTAAGACAGTCAATCATGATGCCTATAGCCAGGACTTTGCTTTCAGCAAAGTCCAGCTAAAAATTCTGTGAGCTATGACATAAAAGTTATGAACAAATAAAAAAAAAATTCAATGTGGCCACAAAAGACTTTTTATATTCTTTTAAAATTAGTTTTTAAAGAATTCACTTAATGGTAAGAAGAGAATCTTTAGGGGAAATTAGATTTTCTGTGGTGACAGTAGAGGGAGGAAGAAAAAGAAATAAGTCCTCCAAATTATGCACTATATATATAGTATAAAGTATTAAGTACTCAGTATTAAGATGATGAATTCTTCTGAATATTGAAACTGACTCGTCTCTTTTTTCTTCAGGAAA